AACCCATTCAAGCCATCTCCAACCATTATTAATATAATAGTTTCTTCCTATTTTGTGCCTAGGTTATTTTAAGGAGATTTGATTTTAAACCTATAACAATAAAATTTCAGTAAGATATTTTCCAACTCACTGGTTCACACGGGCCACGGCAAGTACGAACTGTTGCCTGGAAGACCAATAAATTAGAATCGGGAATCTTAAAAGCATAAAAATCTGCTTCAAGGGCGCCATCTGGTGTTCGATGCAATTCAGGAAAGACATAAAGGTCAATAGGACAGCTAAAATAGATCATAAGTGTACATAAGCATTATAATAAGACTGGAAGGAGACACAAACTGTTTTCTGAGCAATGATTTATATTGTACATTCTCTGAAATGTTTGTTTGTTTGTTATTAAGCACACTTATAAAATGGGTTGACTGTGCTCTGGCCACCAAAGGTATCGAAACCTGATTTTTAGCACTATAAGTCCTCAGGTTTCTTGCTGAGCTACCAGGGGAGTTTTGTTTGTTTGTTACTTTGTAATTAAGCACAGAGCTACACAATGGGCTATCTGTGCTCTGCCCTCCATGAGTATCGAGGCCCAGTTTCTAATCAGGGTTTTTTTTTTAACTAAAGAAGTTACAACACGTTTGTCAACTTGACGTAGGTATTATCATTGTAACTTCACTAGGTTCAGATAGTTTAGTTATCTCGATATCCACTATTACATTGTTGTAATGGTTTCTGTTGTTGGATAGGTTCTTTTAGAATATTCGGTGAAAACGATTTCACGAACTAACGATACACCTTAACTTTACATATAACTAAACAGTCACTTGCTATTTTTCTCGGATGTACGGTATTTCTCTAACTTGTACATCGTTGAAACTTTTTTTTTTGTATTTATGGCAAAGTTACTAAGGCTATTGCCACCATCCCTAATTTTCAACTTGGGAGCAGAAGTAAGACAGCCACTCAGTAGCACCTTACCATCCACGCTAAGGGATTAACTACCACTCTTACAATACACCTACAGTTCCTAAACCCATAGGTGTACCATAGGGCAAACCCCACCCTGACAAACTCGTTTATTCAATAATCGACACACTGCTACAACAGACATACTAATGAAACAACAGTCTATTCAAACCTCAGGTTACTCTGGTTTTATACAATTTAATTCGTTTTAATAAAGGTTATAGAAAATTCTAGCTGTTTACTAATCAGGACATGTCAAAAACTCCCTTTACACAAGCAATAAAAAAAAACAAGTTTAAAGATACTCTACAACACTGCCCCTTCTTTGGATAGTGAATTCTCTTAAACAATCAACCTGTACATTAAAATTCATAATTAACAATAAAAAAGTAACCTTTGGCAAGTATGAACACTAATATTCATATATATAAACAGTACAATCATTAATTGTCTGACACCATAGTACTTTAAAAAATTATAAAAACAAAACTATCTCCTTTCTTGTCATATTTACTATCCCTAATTCATCAAAATCATCAAATCGGTTTGTTGGCTTTCTTTTCGATGGAACGAAGATAGGACGACCTTTTGTCGTGTCACTTCGGAAGTTGTCTTCGGGCGAATGGTTAAGGAAGTCCACTCATGGCTCCATCTATGGCGATACCCTGCAAGAGATCTCAACAGGAACCTCGGATTCTTCAGAGAATTGACTTCCAGTGAAATCTTCCCTAGAACTAAACATTTCACTTCCAAACATGATCACGATGGGTAACCTTTCATTTGGTTCACCTATCTTTCTGGATTCTGCTCTTTTGAACTTTAGGTTTATTGTTGTTGTTTTTTTATATATAGCATTTTTCTCCATGTTTTCACTGGGAGCCCAACTTTCAGTGGGATGATGGTCGTGTAGTGTACATAATTTTTCTGGTCATGGACTGTGAAACTGTCCAAAGCTAGTCTAACGTCTATCTTTGTCAATTATCCACACACCACATTCCTATTTCTGAAATTTTATGATCACTTGCTGTTCACATCAACCCATTTCCTTACTTAATTTTTGAGGGCTATGTCCCAGCTTTCATTACCACATCAGTTTTAAGGATGGTAGCTTTATAACCACTAACAATCAACAAGTTGCAAGGCTTTCCATTAAGGTATCCTTTGTCTCGTGGACTAGTTTTTTGTTTTTTTTAAATAATGCTCTCCTTATTTCTATCTGGTAAGATTAAGAATTTTCATCCTCAGGGTATATTCTGGGTTTATTATCGTCATAACTTCGACAATTCATCCACATCTTCAGCAATTTCTGCTAAGATATATGCCTTCCTCTTTACTCTGCTCCTAAACTTTGTCTCAGAAACTTCTGATGTGACAATACAAAGCTATTTGAAAATACTACCACTAATGCCTGATAGTTATGGTTCTAAGTTAGAAGGCTGCTTAGTGTAGTTGAAGCCGATTGATTTAAATATGCAGCAAGATGAATAACATTTTGTTTGCTTATTCATTCATTCACTTACTTTGGAAAGTATTTCGAATTGTGGTTGGTATACGTCCCATGGTACCTTCCAGTCAGAGTGTTGGTTTTTTCGATTGGACAGTGTTGTTGAATTAACCTACTAAATTCTTTAAGATCAGGTAGTGATATAGCTGGAGTAGACCCGAAAGATCCTGGATTTAAAGATGGCACAGCAGCAGTAGTTGTAACAAGTTTATAGTAGATGAAGTCTCCTATTCTATATGACACAGTTAACGATGTTTGAGGTTAAAATTATTGAGGGGGTGCGAATTTGATCTTTTCATTTCGAGATGTTTTGGCTCTGATAGTGATGTTATTCTGTATATTAATTATTGCCTTTTTGATCTTTTTATTATCTTTCTGCACTTTACAACCTTTCTTAATTTTCATATGACCTCGTCGACCTTACCTTTAATGGAATTTATTTTTGTTTGAAATTCTTCTATCAGTAACAATAGAAACGTCCAAATTTAAAACGCGTACAGCAGTATATAAAAGGAGCAACTTGAATACATTTAGACAAGAAAAAGCAAAATAGCTGAAGAAACAAGAGTAACCAATCCAGGGCATATATATATATCCTGGGCATCAATTTCAATTCAATCCTGCCCAATGTCTGTAGTGCAATTCACCCATGTACCTATACCTGTGCCCTAATGCAAGCGATCCTGGCCAGTGCCTATACCTGGATTAGTCTTATACCTGGATTAGTGAAATCCTTTTTAGTGCTTATACCTGGATTAGTGAAATCCTGTTTAGTGTTTATACCTGGATTAGTGAAATCCTGTTTATGCTTATACCTGGATTAGTGAAATCCTGTTTAGTGTTTATACCAGGATAAGTGAAATCCTTTTTAGTGCTTAGTGGTCATTAGCTTTATCCATTCCCTGTCTAAAAACATTTTTGGCAATGTGAGGAGTCATTAAACACTTACAAATTTAAAATGTGTAACTAAAAAAAAAGCTCAGTTATGTTTTTTATTAAAACTTTTTTCTTCAAATGCAATTAATGTGAAACCAGCGGTAAACCTTACCCTCTTGAGTCAATCAGTTGTACTTCCCTTCCTGAATAAGGATCCTTAGCGATGACGTTAGTTGCAAAAATATCACCAGTAAAGAAGTCATATCGATCTGTTGGAATATAAACAAATAAAGCATGTTTTAGCCTAAAAAACTTTATATATATATATATATATATATTTCATTACTCCTATGGATTCAGAAGGTTTCTATATCATACTTCTAAAACTTTTAAAATCTCGCTGCACGTAATCATAATGTTTTTCTTTCGTTGCACCATGTTACCAATCAAAAATAGTTGAAAATACAGCATTATTTTGTTATATAACATAGTGAATTTGGGGTTAAATATTTCATTCTACATTTAAAGTAATTGTATTACTCAAATATAATAACAAAATACAAATGTCTAACATTCCACTATATGTCCAACATTACTACGCTATGCCTAACAGTACTACGTGTTATGAAGTTCGGTTGATAGAAGTGAGAAAACTACAAGAACCCTTATGTCATGATTATCAGCGTAATTATGAAAAACAGGTGTTTAAAGTCGGACAGAAAGGGTGCTGTTGGCATGGTTTTGAGAAAGAAATATAAAACAAAGGCGTTTAACAGAATAAAAGAAAAAATACTGAGATGTGTAGTGACCGAAAAAAGTAACATACTGCCATAAGGGAACCAAAACCTAGTTATAAATATTTGTGTGCTGATTATATTATAATAAACAGCAGCTTTTATGCATATTAATATGAGCCAATTCTTGAAGTACAATAAATAAAACTTTAATAAAGTTGATGGGAGAGTAAATACAATCATAAAAAAGTGGTGTCAGAAACGGTCTACATATTAATATTACAACACATTGTCTCCAACTTACACTGTCCCCTCGCCTCCAACCTAAACGTTAACAAATCTCCTACTGCTATCGTATTTGTTGGAGTGCCACGGTACAAGATTCGAAGGACGACGCTAGAGGTCAGGATATTCTGTGCCGGCAGATGTTCGATCTGAGTTGGGTAGCGTCTGAAATTACGTAAATATCTTGATGTTATTATAGTAGGAATTAACGTTATTTTTTTGCGAAATCATAGTTAAAAAAACGAAAAACGTTGATCAAGTTGAACATAATAAACAGTAAATGGCCTTTTTTTTTCCTTTATGTATTTGTACACAGTTTACTAGTTTAGTAAAAAATGCAAAAAATATAGTACAAATTAGCGATTTTTTTTTCATGTATCGTACCCTCTTAGCAATTCATGAGACAAGCACTTGTTCTATACTTATTCGTACTGACAAGGTGTCGTCCCCCAGTGAGTCAACGGTAAATCTCCCGACTTACAACACTAAAACTTGTGGTTCGATTTCCCGCGTTGGACAGAGCACAGAAATCACTTTGTGTAGCTTTGCATTAAACAACACACGGTGTCGTATGATCTTTTTGACTTATGAAAAAAGGTAAAAGTCGCAGACGTTGAAACACGCCTCTAGAACCCTTGCACAAATAAATTAATGTAGGTGGCTCCTTCCAATACATAATTTTGGTGCAAACGTGCAAAATTTGTCTTACCTATTTTGAAATATAAGTTCCACACTTACCTCAGTGGCGTACCATTAACTCTGAACTGAAGAAGGGTTTGTTGCGTATCATTGACTAAATTACTGGTAATATTAATTCTCAAGTTAATCTCCACGTTAGCTTGCTGACTAGGTCTCTTTGTATAAGCACTCCATACCAAACTGATGTAGAAATTTGAAATCTGTATGATATTAGCTCATCCGCTAATGATCCAACTTTAGACTTGGTTGCACTATCCGTTACAGTTTCATTAATGTTCCAACATACCTCTTGTTTGGTACCTTACGCTTCTGCACCTGTACTTTAACACCTCTATCTAGTGTCGGAAAGAGATTTGTGAGTTATATTGACAAAATGCTTCAAAATATCTCATCTCTTAGTTGATGTAGCAAAAATAATATACATTCTTTTGAAGGAAATTTTTGGATCAGCTGTAAGGATACAAAAGTATTACAGAATACAAGGCTGAAGAAATAACAGCAAAACAGGAACAAAGAATGCCATTTTCCTTAATTGAAACAACCTACGTTGTACATCCTCATTTGCACTAATATCACCTCTCAGTAGAACAGGATTGTCTACAAGGCTATTATTAGTAACACTGAATCCTCTTAAAAAGACAGAACTGTCAACAAGGCTATTACTAATAACAATCAATCCTCTCAACAGAACGATACTGTAACAAGTTTGTTACTAATAACAATCAATCTTTTCAACAGAACGACACTGTCTACAAGGCTATTACTAATAACAATCAATCCTCTCAACAGAACGATACTGTAACAAGTTTGTTACTAATAACAATCAATCTTTTCAACAGAACGACACTGTCTACAAGGCTATTACTAATAACAATCAATCCTCTCAACAGAACTATACTGTCTACAAGTTTGTTACTAATAACAATCAATCCTCTCAACAGAACGATACTGTCTACAAGGCTATTACTAATAACAATCAATCCTCTCAACAGAACTATACTGTCTACAAGTTTGTTACTAATAACAATCAATCCTCTCAACAGAACTATACTGTTAACAAGTTTGTTACTAATAGCAATCAATCCTCTCAACAGAACGTTACTGTCAACAAGGCTATTACTAATAACAATCAATCCTCTCAACAGAACTATACTGTCTACAAGTTTGTTACTAATAACAATCAATCCTCTCAACAGAACTATACTGTTAACAAGTTTGTTACTAATAACAATCAATCCTCTCAACAGAACGATACTGTCAACAAGGCTATTACTAATAACAATCAATCCTCTCAACAGAACGATACTGTCTACACGTTTGTTACTAATAACAATCAATCCTCTCAACAGAACGATACTGTCAACAAGGCTATTACCAATAACAATCAATCCTCTCAACAGAACGATACTGTCTACACGTTTGTTACTAATAACAATCAATCCTCTCAACAGAACGATACTGTCTACAAGTTTGTTACTAAAAACACCTAATCCTTTTAAGAAGACGATAATGTCTACAATGTTGGTTTACTTTTTAGTTTCGCGCAAAATTACTTGACGGCTATCTGCGTTAGTTGTCCTAGCATTGAAAGACTAGAGCAGACATTCCCAACCTGGGGCTACATTTGCACTTCTCAGGGGGTACATAGGGGTCTGAGAGTATAACCATTGTTTACACTTTACTTGGTGTTTTAATCTACAGTCAGACAAAGTGGCTTACATAAATATACGCTCTTTAGACAAAAAGTTGTGATCATGGTGAACGTTGTGATGTTATTGCTGTGCTACATTATAACTCATGTTTTCAATAAGTAATGTAGAATAAAGCAATATAGAAAAACAGACTCAATCATCTCATTAGTATTAGTATTTAGTATATAGTTTTGACAATATACTAAGATAATGTATAAATTTACTGAGTTCAATTTATCGATGTTATCAATACTACAAGATCCTTATCCAGTCCACACATACAGATTTCATAATTAAATAATATAAAATCAATATAATTTTATCCATTTTTTTTAAATCTTTAATTTGTAGGGGTACATGGGAACATGTCAGAATGCCCAAGGCCAAGGACTACAGAGGAACAAAAATGTTGGGAATCCCTGGACTAGAGGGAAGGCAGCCAGTCAGCACCATCCACAGCCAACACTTGGGCTACTCTTTTTACCAACGAATAGAGGGATTGACTGTCACGTTATAACGCCTCTACGGCTGAAAGGGCGAGCATGTTCGGTGAGGGGGATTTGGACCTGCGACCTGCAGATTGCGAGTCGAGGGATCTAGCAATCAGGATATGCCGGGCCAAATCCACAAAGTTGGTACTAATAACATACAGTATATTTAACAGCACGATACTATCCACAAAGTTGGTACTAATAACATGCTGTATACTTAACAGGCGATGCTATCTAAAGGTTGGTACTAATAACATGCTGTATACTTAACAGGCGATGCTATCTAAAGGTTGGTACTAATAACATTTAATCATCTCGAAAGAACCTCAGTGTCTACTCTGTTTAAGAAAGCGATACTGTCTACAAGGCTGTTGCTAATATCACCCAAAATTCTCAACAGGACATTACTGTCTACAATATAAGTTGGTGTTCTAATGTTCAAATGCCTTACTAATCATTATTTATTTATCACTTATGAGCTATGAAGTTAGCTTGCTTTGATTAAAAATTATTGAAAATTTACTGCATTCTTTTATATTGGAATGCCTTTACGTATATATATATATGTATCTAAGCTAATTAACATATTACAAACTACTTTTATTTTCACAAAAAGTAAAATTAAAAATAAAATCTATGACGTGCAGGCCTAATACATTATTTGATTCGCCGTGCCCTCTGCCGTGGACTAGAAGTTTCACCTCTTTAATTAAGGCTTATCAGCACAGCTTGGATTGGCAATACAAATAGAAACAGTTAGGCCTCTTATAATGGTGATGTATATATTATATTTAAGGGGTTTTTGAGGTCTTTTCAGTTCACTATTTAGTAATCTAAATTAATTTAGGTGTGTTAATAATATTACTGAACTGCATTCATTTTATTATTTGATATTATACAATCGACCATCTGTTTAATGATTATATTAAATAGCTTCTTTGAAAATATAATCTGTGACATAAGGGCCTAATTACATGGCGAGTAAGGACTCGAAAACAATCGAGCCCCTGATTTTAGCGTTGTAAATCCGTAGACTTACCGCCGTCCCACCGGGGAACATTGAGCCAACCGAAAAAGTGACTTTAAACCTATAGACAACTTTCCCCATTTAAAATGTCAGCTAATCTGGTAAATAAAAAGAACGATTTTGGCACTGTATTGTTCTGATAAAGAATTAGTAACAATTAGCAAACTAAACCCTTATAAACACAAAATCAGTGTTGATTGATTTCGATATCTAATTCTATACTATTAGCATAGTAAACTAGAATTATTTATAATAAAAAATCAACAGGTATAGAAACTGAATTGACTAGTGTAATCCTATTATAGCTAAGATTGATTTATTCGTTTAAATTTTAATTCGAAAATTGGTGCTACATACCCGTCAGTTCGAGAGTCTAGATAATTTGACGTCACTACCGTTTCTCCGACTCCAGAAAGGTAACAAGTGAGGTTATATACCTTGTCACGTGACGTCTGCACGTAGTCGTTAAACTGTACTACAACAATGTTGGTCATAACATCTCCATACTGTGAAAAACACAAGCCATATTCGTTTAGTTGCAGAAGTTGGTTTATTAAGGACGATATTTGAAAAATAAAAATTATATTTGAACATGGACGGCTAAAAATTCAATGTTATTTTATGTGTAATGTTACAGTTCAAAGATTATCATTACTTATTTTGTCTTTCTGAAAAACCTTTGAAAATGGGATATTGATACATATTGTTACGACAGCGGAAGTCACGTGACCCTAGTAACACGTCATGATATTCTCGAAGGTTCGTGAATGCTCGAGTGTTTGCTAGATGTGTGGTATTCTTGTATATAAGTGCGCCAGACAATGAATCGAGAATAGAATTGCAGACAGACAGAGACGGACAATTGAGTCAAGCGCGGTAGTAAGTAAGTGCGTGAATCCTTCGTTGTGAATTATAGCGTGTGTTTAAGTTAAATTGATTGTGGAAATTAAGTGTATTGCAAAGTTGTATTAAGAAAGAATAAACTAGTTTTATTTAAGAAAGGACTTTTATCGCTGAAGTTTTTCGGAAAGAATTTTTACGGGAAATTAACAAACGGCTAGAAACGTAACAATATAAAGATCAGTTTTTTAAATCTAATTTGTTTGTTGAATACACCCGATACAAATATGTTATATTATATTTAATTATTATGAATGAGTCTTAATTTTCATAAATTTTAAAGGAGTGCGGGAGAAAACTTCTCACAATCTGCTTAATTTTTCATAGTTAATTTGTTTTATGCCCTATAAAACAACAAGCAAACAATATCATAAAAAATTACATTCAATAAAATATTAAAACTAGAATAACTAAGGCAGACTTCTAAATCTATTACAGAAAATTAAGTTTCATGCATTAATGTAACAGCACACATCATAAGTTATAATCACACCTAGAAATTTGATTAACCCTGACTGTGTTCAATAAGTTTTTGTTTTTGAATTTCGCGCAAAGCTACACGAGGGCTATCTGCGCTAGCCGTCCCTAATTTAGCAGTGTAAGACTAGAGGGAAGGCAGCTTGTCATCACCGCCAACTCTTGGGCTACTCTTTTACCAATGAATAGTGAGATCGACCGTCACATTATATCGCCCGCACGGCTGAAAGGTCGGGGCAATTTCAAGAATTATAAGGTACATTGTTAACACATACTTTAAACTCTCAACTATAAAATATTTAGTTAAGCTAAAGAGAGGTTGATTTGATTCTCTAGTGTCACAGAACAGTACATCGCTGTCTCCCTGTTGAGTGGTATTAAAATAAAAAGATAATTATTTTTTATTAAACTATTTCGAATTAGACGACGACAACGTTCAAGTGCAGATATTTTTGTTCAAACAGAATGAAATAAGCTACTTTCATTTTTTTAAATAATATTCTTTATCAAATATTTCAAACCTGTTGTGTTCCACATCGTGGAAAACCATTCGCTCGACTTATACGTAGCACATTAATATTCCCGCCATTGCCATCATAGAAGCACGTGTCATAGAACCCATATGTATAAATACGACCATAGAAGCCACCTGGTGTTCGAAGTGAGAAATCCATGCCGTCAGGAGAACAAGATTGGCTAACTGCAAATAAATCAAGTAACTATCTTTTACTGATTATCAGTATTATTTACAAAAATCGGGTGATTTGTACGGTAAGTTTAGCACGTGAAAATAAATATACCGTATTTTTAAAATGTCACATTTATACATATTCTGTCGTAATAGTTGCTGCTAGTATCAAAACTTACCACGTTAGAGCACTACACCGCAACACTTCATAGACATACTCATTCAATCAAGATTAAAGTAAAATAGTTGTTGTACGTTTCTAAAAAGCGATTTCAATTTCTAGAAGATAACTTTTTAGAAACCTGTTCTATTGACCCTAGTGTATACGTTAGACAACGTTTTTACTTCTATTATAGTTGTAAAAACGTTCATTGCATGTGTACTCTCTTTGTATTAATTTGTGGATTCAAAATCAGGTGTGTAAAAATAGCATTTCAGAGATATCTTTTATCTCTCACAAGCCACTGACTGAGAGGCCTTTCGTACAATACTACAACTCGTCACAATGAGAAGATTCTCTGAAACGTTATGGTTTAGTTTGAATGGCTCCCTCATTATAGTTTGTTTATTTGTAATTAAGCACAAAGCTACACAATGGGCTATCTGTGCTCTGCCCACCACGGGTATCGAAACCCGGATTCTAGCGTTATTATAGATGAACACTGGCTGTAATCTCACTAAAGCTCGGTATTCCTATGTAGTTGTACATTTACAAAGTACTGCAAATAAACTTAAAGGAACAAAATTATTTTCCTAATAACTAGAGAAACCCGATTTCTCACTGCATACAGTAAAACGAAAACTCACCATCCAAACAATGACGACCTGGCCCTGGCCCATCTCGCTCGTAGAAATCAAACTGGGTGTTGTCATCGAAATGGCTGGGGTTACTCAGTTGTACCTGAGTCGTGTCAATATCACTCAGCTCGCAGTTCTCAGGAAAGAAGGACCTGATTTAAAAAACGCTGTTTATACTACTCGTTGTTATCCAGCAAATATGATTTTAATAAACGCCTTTTTTTTTTTACAATTTATTTTAAAGAGGATCATAACTAGTTAATGGCTCGTCACATATTGAAACAATGTTTTTTTGTGGATTATATACATATCACTAAATAATTTATGAACGGTCTACCAAATGTTTTTTACTAATTTCACTGGTCAAAGGTCGTTTTCACTGCATGTTGAAAATAGAGGCTAATTTGTTGGTATTAAAGCAGGCTTAACAATCATGGTATATTACAATTGTATCATGCTCTACATTTATAAATGTTTTATGTTCTTCTAGCAGTTTCACAAAGCAGATATCATGTATTCTGCTTTAAACATTTGTGAACATTTGCGTATTCTCGTTTAATTGATTATCACTAATTACACTGTATACCGAAATCTAGAAAATGCACGATGTAGCTCATTTTTAATGTGTGCAAATAGGAAAAACAGTGTAGATTAGTAGGGCATTTTAACCAGATTCGGTAAACTTTTATTAGAGTTCCATATATTAGGATGTGGTTGAAGCTATCCTATAGTTGTAGTATTGACTTTTACACTTATCCCTTAATTGTCATGTTTTAAAGTTAATACATTAGTCTATTGTAAATCTTTATTTTTAAAAATATAATAAGCTATATAAATAAACAGTTATGGCCTTAGTGAAACTAAACTAAATGAAAAACACCAATATTACGTAACAATTTCAATTTAAAACTGATGTTTAGCAAACAAACAAAAAATGCTCCAGAAAAGTAAACTGTCTCTAGCTTTTTTAAAAATGCTTTTTTTTAAGTCGTAACGCGTTAGCTCCAAGTATTACCTAAAGTTGAAAGATCTACATTCAAAATCACGTGCTTCAATGCACGCGCGTTCACAGTCTTCTACCCTGTCAGCTCGTACCACTTTACGGACATAGAAGCTTCGAAGTCTTTGTCCAAATCCAACTCTTTGAAACACATCGCCCCCTGGAGCGCCACCTCTACCATGGTCCGCGCATGTGGGATAACCCAGCCCTCCTGGTCCTGGTGGAATGGGTGGGCCAGGAAGCCTAGGTGGATAGATCGAGTTAGGACCAGGTGGTAGTGGTGGTGGAGGAGGTGGCCCAGGAGGTAGTCTGTCGTAGCCGCCACCAGCACCATGTGATCCGCCATAACGACCACCGTAGTTCCCTTCGGGTCTCCCACCATATCTTTCCCAGTGAGGTGGTGGCGGTGGAGGAGGAAGAGGTGGGCGTGGATGCCGTCCTATTCCTGTTTTACTGTCGCTCCATCCTCCTCCCCATTTTCCACCACCAAAACCTCCATAATCAGTTCTTTCTGGAGTAAAACCTCCTCCGTGTCTTCCATCACCTCGAACTAGTAAAACAAATAAATCATAGTTTTTTTTATAACAATGATGTGTGTATTCATTGATAAAAACCATGAATAAGCTAGAAAAAAAACTAAGAGGAAATATTTAGTATGAAAGCAATAAATCACTGAAACTTAGAATATTGTTATCATTATTTGTTAAAAAGATAGTAATAACTGTACTGAATCTTTAGCAATGAAAGTTATTTTTACGGTTTATAGAAATCAGTCAATTAAAAGAAAACAACTCCGCTCTGAGCCTGAAAAGTTGTAGATTGACTTAAAAAGTTTTGTAGTTGGTGTATTTACTTAATTCATTGTTATTTGTTAGTTAGAATTCTGGCTCCTAGCAAAATAAACCAATGATAATTAATAAGGATAGAATAATGTACAGTTTTCTGATATTATGTTTAAAAGTTTTTGTGCGTTTCTATTTCTTTTTATGAGTTTTTCACGGAACTTCAAATCGACTCTTTGCAGTTGTCGACTACACAGTAAATGTCTTTCATGTTAATGTTTGTGACAGTCATTGCGTTTAGTAAACAAAGATAAACCTCATTGTGGCGTAATAATGCAAACTGTCTATCTTGAGATTTTTCATGTTTTGAAGTCTTCATAGCAACCAAACTCTAGCCTGCAACTAAAGTACTACAAATTCTATAGACTATAACTAATAACCTACAAATTCTAGACTACAATTAATGTCCTAAAACTTCTATGGACTACAACTAAAACCCTACAAATTCTATAGACTACAACTAATGTCCTAAAAATTCTATAGACACGACAAATGTCCTACAAATTCTATATACTACAACTTAGGTCCTAAAAATTCTATAGACTGCAATTAATGTCCTAAAAATTCTATAGACTACAACTAAAGCCCTACAAATTCTATAGACTACAACTAAAGTCCTACAAATTCTATAGACTACAACTAAAGTCCCTACAAATTCTATAGACTACAACTAATGTCCTACAAATTCTATATACTACAACTAATGTCCTAAAAATTCTATAGACTACAACTAAAGTCTTACAAATTCTATAGACTACAACTAAAGTCTTAGAAATTCTACATGCTACAACTAATGTCCTACAAATTCTATAGACTACAACTAAAGTCTTACAAATTCTATAGACTATAACTAAACTTCTACAAATTCTATAGACTACAACTAAAGTCCTAAAAATTCCATAGACTACAACTAAAGTCCTACAAATTCTATAGACTACAACCAAACTCCTAAAAATTCCATAGACTACAACTAAACTCCTACAAATTCTCTAGACAACAACTAAAGTTCTAAAAATTCCATAGACTACAACTGAAGTCCAACAAATTCTATAGACTACAACTAAAGTCCTAAAAATTCCATAGACTACAGCTAAAGTCCTAGAAATTCTATAGGACTACAACTAAAGTCCTAAAAAGTCTCTAGACTACAATTAATGTCCTACAAATTCTACAGACTATAACTAAAGTCCTAAAATGTCTCTAGACTACAACTAAAGTCTTACAAATTCTATAGACTACAACTAAAGTCCTACAAATTCTATAGACTACAATTAAAGTCCTACAAATTCTATAGACTACAACTAAAACCCTACAAGTTCTATAGACTACAACTAAAGTGCTAAAAATTCCATAGACTACAACTAAAGTCCGACAAATTCTATAGACTACAACTAAAGTACTAAAAATTCTATAGACTACAACTAATGTCCTACAAATTCTATAGACTACAACTAAAGTACTAAAAAGTCTCTAGACTACAATTAATGTCCTACAAATTCTATAGACTACAGCCAATGTCCTACAAATTCTATAGACTATAACTAAAGTCCTAAAATGTCTCTAGACTACAACTAAAGCCCTACAAATTCTTTAGACAACAACTAAAGTTCTAAAAATTCCATAGACTACAACTAAAGTCCGACAAATTCTATAGACTACAACTAAAGTCCTACAAATTCCATAGACTACAACTAAAGTCCTACAAATTCTATAGACTACAACTAAAGTCCTAAAAAGTCTCTAGACTACAATTAATGTCCTACAAATTCTATAGACTGCAGCCAATGTCCTACAAATTCTATAGACTATAACTAAAGTCCTAAAATGTCTCTAGACTACAACTAAAGCCCTACAAATTCTTTAGACTACAACTTAGGTCCTACAAATTCTCTAGACTACAATTAATGTCCTACAAATTCTATAGACTGCAGCCAATGTCCTACAAATTCTATAGACTATAACTAAAGT